ATGAACCACTTTATCTCCCCTTTCTTTTTTGTTCAGTTGTTTCAGTCGTGTCCTTCGTGACTCCATTTGGGGTTTTCTTGGCAAAGATGCTGGAGTTTGTCATTTCCTTCTCCAGTTCATTTCACAAATGAATAAACTGAGGCAAACAGGGTTAAGTGACTTGCCCAGGGTCACATAGCTAGTAAGTTTCTGAGGCCACACTTGAACTCATGAAGATACGTTTTCCTGACTCTCGGCCTGGCTTTCTATCCACTGTGCCACCTAGCTGCCCTCCCCTTTGTTTACCTAAAGGGAAATTTGGGGCCACTGGGGGTCCTCCCTGGTGCCAGGAACACAACCTTGGGGTCCACTGCTCAACAACCAGGTTAGAATGGAAGCTCACTCTGCCCTGGTGCAGACATATATTTTATTTCTTTTTTTTTTTTGGTAAGGCAATTGGGGTTAAGTGACTTGCCCAAGGTTACACAGCTAGTAAGTGTCAAGTGTTTGGTCTGAGGCCACATTTGAACTCAGGTCCTCCTGACTTCAGGGCCGGTGCTGTATCCACTGCGCCACCTAGCTGCCCCTTGGTGCAGACATATAGGGTGATGAGAGGATGGTGGTCAGTAGAAAAACTTAGGAGGTAGAAAAGAGATCCAGGGCTCATCCAGGCTATGCCATTCTGCCCCTGTATAGGCACCAAGTGCTCCGAATCTTAGCAGCCAATGAAGCTCAGGTAGAGAAGGTGAGGGAGCTGGAGAAGCTGGAACATCTGCAGGTAAGAGGACTGTGGTCCTGGAGTCACCTTTCTGGAAGAACACCTCTTCCTGCAAGGTTGAGTATGGTGGAGATACAGGACCTGACCCCATCCCTGCTGCCAAACCCTCTGCCCCATCCAGACTCCCACTCCTGGCCCCATCAGCTTCTTGTTTCTATCTTAGGGTTCAGCCTACCCTAAGGAATAGACTGCCCCTTTGGAGATTCTGGGCCTTTGGGGCTGAGTGGTGCCTATGGAGTTATTGCTGCTGACTCCCTGGGGTGGAAAAGTATGGACTGACCCCTCTCAGAAAAGTGAACTGTGGAGACATGGGAGGAGGGCAGTGAAAAGAGCCCTACGTGGAGGTCACAGGTCTTGGCTCTGCCACTCATTAGCTGTGTGACTTCAAGCAAGTCCCTTGACCACTCTGGGCTGCAGTTCCTTCTTCTTCAAGAATGAGGGTGTTGGTCTGTAATATATAAGATCCCATTCTGCTCTAACTATAACATAAACACTCTATTCCTATGCTTCCTCTGCCCTTTGTCATCCAGTTAAACTGTCAGGCTTCCCTTCCACAAAGCATTGGAATATTCTCCAATGCTTTTCTTTCTTTTTTTGGTTTTGTTTTGTTTTGGCTTTTTTTGGCCAGGCAATAGGGTTAAGTGACTTGCCCAGGGTCACACAGCTAGTAAGTGTCAAGTATCTGAGGCTAGATTTGAACTCAGATCCTCCTGATTTCAGGGTGGTTATTCTATCCACTGCACAACCTAGCTGCCCTCCTCCTCCCCCAATGCTCTTCTTATGGACAAGATGGTGTGGGCTAGATGAAAGCAAATTTAAATGGATTCAAGACTGGTTGAAAGATTTTACCCAGAGAGTAGCCATTAATTGTCCAAGGTCAATACATCCGTAGGTCTCTACCAGAGTTTCCCAGAGCTTTATGCTCAGCTCTATGAGGGTTAACATTTATCAAACGCCTGAAAAAAGGCATGGATATTTGAGGATCAATTCAAGTTAGCAGATATAGCTAACTCCTTGTACGACAAAGTCAGGATCCAAAAAGATTTCTGCAAATTAGAATATTGGGCCAATTCCAATAAGACAAAATTTAATAAGAATAAATATAAATTACAGTTGATTTTGAAAACAACTTCACACATAGAAGTTGGGGGTAGGGTTAGCTAGATAGCAGTTTGTCTGAAAAAGATCCAAGGGTCTCCACAGACCACAAGTTTAGTATGAGTTGATCACATTGCTCTTGTTAGTATGAGTTGATCATGATATAGCAGCCCCAAAAGCCAAGGCAATCTTAGGGTGCATTAAGAGAGGCATACTTTCCAGGTCTAGGGAGGTGACAGTTACCTGGTGAGACCATAGCTGACATATAGTGTTCAGTTTTAGGAAGAGCATTGGCAAAATGCTCTTGCACCCTGAAGAAGGATAACCAGAATAGTGAAGTGCCATATAAAGATCAGTTGAAGAAGTGGGGATGTTTCTCTTGGAGGAAAGAAGCCAGAGGGGAGCCATGAGAGCTGGAGTTGAAGGGCTATCACTTGACAATGGAATAAGATTTTTCCACTTGGCCTCAGAAGGTGGAACTAAGGACCAGTAGATGGAAATTCCAGGGAGTCAAATCAAGTCAACAGGCATAGTGCCTACTATGAGTCAGGCACTGTGCTAAGTGCTAGGGATACAAAAAATGGCAAAGAGCTCACAGTCTAATGGGAGACACAATAGGCAAACAACTATATACAAACACAGGATAAATTCGGAATACTCTTGGAAGGCACCAGTATTGGCAGGGACGGGACATGTCAGGAAAGGCTTCTTGTTGAAGGTGGGACACAAGGAAGGAGAGAATTCCAGGTGTGGGGGACAGCCAACAAAAAGGCATTGCAGATTTAAGCTTGATGTAATGAAAATCTTTCTAGGCATCAGAGCTACTCCAAAGCAGAATGGCTGCTTTCACCCTCACTAGGGATCTCCCTGCACAGTCTGCATGGCCACTAGGAATGGATTTTTGTTCAGACCCATGTTTGACTCAATAGATGGCCTCGATAGATGATTCCTTCTACCTCTTTTTAAAAAATGTCTCCCTCTTCTGCTCCTGAGCTTTTACATCCTCCCTTATAAGGGTCCCCAGATACTTCACTCTCTTTTCTTTAACCTACCCTATGCCCCTTTCGGGTCTTTTCCGTCCCATTTTCTGGTTTACTTTCCCTGTTTTGTAGAATCTCCTAATCCCAGGTCACCACATAAATCACTCCTCTGGCTTCTCTTAGCCTGTGTTCTAAATCCCAATAGAGGAAATTTTAACCCACACATTCTCCTACCTCCCCCTGGCTATGTATCCCTCTCTTTGTCCTGATGTTTTAGCCAGCACACCTTGGACCCCCTGTGACAGTTACAGTTTTTGTCCTCTACAGCTGGACTTTTGGCGTGGTCCCTCCCGCCTCTTCCTCCCCATTGATGTCCGTGTGCCTTTCTCCAGTCTCCAGTCTGTCAAAGTGTTCCTGGAGGCCAATGGCGTCAAGTATTCTATCATGATTGAGGATGTGCAGGTAATTGAAGAATGGATGCCCATGGGTTGTGGAGGGTGGAAGGGGAATCAGCATGGCACCGAAGACCTAGGACTCTGATCTCTTTATCAGAAGAGATCTCAATTCTCAATTCCCAATTCCCAATCCCTGAACCCCAAATAAGTGGGAAAGGAAGAAAATTTTATCTTTGGGCTATCTTTTGTCCTTCAATTACCCTCAGTCACCCTCTCCCAAATACTCTATTGTCCTACTCCCGTGCATGCCCTTCCATTTATCCATTGACATGTTCCTACTCTCAAACCCAATTTTCTAACAAGCTAATCTGATCAACCCTTGCCAAGTACAGGGACCACTCCTTGGGGGGGTCAGATATGTACCATTCAACAAAGGCCTTCTGCAAATACTTGTGTTTCTTCACCTACATATGAAATGTCTAACAATGCTGGAAATGTCTAACAATAGGATGGGAAGGTGGTACCATGGCAGACCAGGGGATTGTGAGATATTTGGATGACCAGTGGGCATCAAATTCTACCATCTAGATGACTACCTGCTTCACCCATGTGTGGATCAGCTCAGTTCTTTTGTTGAGCCAGAATTACCCAGTCCTGCTTTTAGCATCTGTTTCCAAGGAGATAAGAGGAATAGTGGGGAGATTGGGGAGTAGACTCTTTCTTAACAATTGTCTCCTCCTCCAACTTTCCAGCTGCTGCTGGACGAGGAAGAGAAAGAGATGTTTGCCTTCCGGTCGAGGGCACGCTCCACAGACACCTTCAATTACGCCGCTTACCACACCCTGGCAGAGGTAAGGGCTTCTGAGAGACAGCCTCAACCCCTGGGTATGTGCCACTGACTGATACCTTGGACACAAAATAGTACCCTTCTCCTGTTGTACAAGGCACTCCAGAGATGCTCTCAGATGATGTCCTAAACCTGAGAAATTGGTCTCTTAGTATAGTTGAAAGAATGCTGGATTCTGCCAGCAGAAAGACCT